TTGATTAATATAAATGGGTGTTTTGGATTTACCGGTACAAGTATATTGCTGTTTAATTGTTGTTTCAACTATGCCTGTCATTGATGGCTAAGAAAATTACACGTCATTGATCAGTCCCAAACCTCCATTTTTTCAGCTGAAGTTACTCTCATATGTGATGTGTGTGTATGTGTTTTAAAGTGCAAATTCATTCATTCATTCATTCATCTCAGTTTAGAACATACATTAGAACTTAGAAGTAGCAATGCCATAAAGAAACTCAGGACATATGGAGTTATGGACCATGCAAGTACAATGTCTACAACAATGTATAGTAACAACTCTAGCAATTCGATGTGCCACTTTGTTGGCTGTTCTTCTGTACCAAGAAGAAAGAAAGAAAGGCGAAAGGCTAGACTTCTGCAATCGGCAATATCGGTGTTAATACATCACACATTTGTTTGTTTGGGTGCCGGATCAAATTGTCCAATCACCCGAGTCAATGATGGGTTAGAAAGGTCAACTACATGAACCCCTCTTTCTTTCAATTTCATATATGCATCATTAAATTATGCGCCTTTAAAGTTCAAATTTTTTTTTAATATTTCAACCCATGTCCATTTTAGCCTACCCCTAACTATTTTAAACCCTTTTACTTTTGAAATAGGTCCATTCTTCTTATTGTGAACCAACATTTTTGAACCGCCGTTGATTCGAATGATCGGACCGTTCGACCTGGAAACCGTTCAGGCAACTGTTTCTGTTTTACTCAAAATCTAGAATCTGATAAAAAACCATTGAAAAGAGTCAATAAACCGTTGACCCAGGTGGTTGAACCATTGATCCGTCGACCCATTCAATAGTTTTTAACTGTTTTTTTATTTTTATAATTATTTTTAATTTTGCTGTCAGAATTGGCCATCCATTCGAACCGGATGATTGGACCGTTGACCTAAAAACCGGTGGCCAGAATGGTTCCGTTTCCGGATCGTTTTTTAAAATGTTGTTGTGAACCATCAAACCAGAGCTAGAGAAAAGTCATCTCTTTGTCCCAAATCCTGATGATACCCTGATTCTTTCTCCTATCATTGTTAAGCTTACAATGAATATATCTTGCTTTAAGTTTCAATTATACTTTTTTTTGTTCCAAAAGCATCTCTCTGTAGATTTAATCCTCTTCTAATTTCATCACTGAATGATAATATGTAAGCAAACAACTTATATCATTAGACCTCCTGCATATACTTAACAGATCCATTTATGTTGATGAGGTGACGACGTGGATTTTCTTGTGAAAAAAAAAGGGGGTTGAGGTGGATTCAAATGCAATGAAATTAAAACAAATACGACAGGGTTTTAAATGATAGTGAAATATATATATATATATATATATATTATGGTTCAATCCGTTGACATCCTTTTCTGAATCTGGCAACCAAAGCAGTCCCTACCCCAATAAATCAAAATTCTTATCCCTTACTGAGGAGTGAGGACCCAGAAGCCGTAGTACATGAATGACTAATCAAAGCCAGTGTAAATGGCTTGGTACCTTACTCTGTTATCAGTTACAGCTCAGTCGTCCTTCTAATACCTTTTCTTGAGCAGTTGTTTTGTTGGGTAATTAATTTTTTACTGTGTCAACAGCTAGATCTAACCAAGGTTTTACTTCAATTGTGGTCATTTGGATATGACAAAGATAGAGAGATGATCAGCTGCATCCAACCTGTAATTTATGTAGATGTTTGTTTGTGGGTTGGCTTAAGCAATAAACTAATATGGAGATTCTAGACAAGAAAATAAAACAAGATTCAAGACTTCCTGTTGATTGAGATTGACTGTTTGAGGAGCATTTATAATTAAAGACAAATAGGACCATATGTTCATGTGCTTAGACCAACAATAGTCTATTAAGATTTTAGACTTGCACAATTTCATTAGGCTGTGTTTGGAAGCGATGCAAATATGTAGAGTGTAAAACAGTTCATATAAATTGTAAAACTGGGTTAGTTTTGCACTGATAAATTTATCTTCTTATCAAAAAGACTTTTAGTTGTAATGGATACAAACATGAATTCCAATAAAGTATATGCTTTTTTTAATCAAAAGCTTATTTGAATGCAAATTTACTTTTTTTTTATTAATGTACTTTTATATCTTATTATCAAAGTAAATATACATTGGTCTATCATTTGTCAATACATAAATGTAATGTTGTCAAGGGCAGAAGTGAACCAAAATGTAAATTTACCCTGAACCAAGATTTATACTCCATTTCTATAGTTTCCAAACGTAGCCTTACCCAACTCCCAGTTAGTGTGCCATTGCTTTATTCTATAGCTCATGTGCTAATGTTTTGTGGTGAATGAATAGAATATTGTTTCCATTTTTATTATTTTATAAGAGAATCTCAGATCATCCACTTGTTGTTTATTTCTAAATTCTAAAAGTTTACTTAGTTTATTGACACACAGCTTTATCCTATTCTTTCATTTCGTAATTTAAAGAATGTTGCGAGGGGATGCCGGAAAATGTCTTCACGATTCACATCCAGGGTGAAGACGACGGCCCACAATTCTGTTGATCTAAGCTGATGAATCTTCTACATCAAGATTTAATCAAATTGGTGACAATAACAATCCAATTTTTTCCACTTTTCTTCTATTATAAGAAATAAAGTTTTGTTTGATTGCCCCTAAAAGGTCTAAAAATGTAAGTATACAAGCCTATTACTGCAAATCTTCCAGGTGGGATCCACTCTCCCTCCCTCCTGCAATGATGACTTTTTTTTTTTTGTGTTTAAGCAATGGAGTTTATTCAAAGTCTACTGGATTCTTTTCTGCATTACATAAGACAAACCAAGACACCAGCCATTTGTTTTCAACCACAAAACAAATCCGGAAAAAATGGCTTTGTTTTGTTTTGCCAGATGGCAATGTAAAAGTTTCTGAGAATTACGGAGACAGCACTAATGGTTCATAGGATTGCAAACTCAAATAAATTGGGAAAACAAAGGTTTGGCATTAAAATTGGGAAAAAAACTGAAATAAATTGTTCGAGAAAAGAAAAAAAAAAAAAACTTGCAACAAAAAAAAATAATAAAAAATCCCCCATTTTTGTTTGGCCTAGATTACCTTGGGTCGAACCCGTGACCTCCTTGTCCACTGAAATAAATGTTCCAGATGAATAAAACGACTTAAATACTGGCGAAGACGAACCGATTTCAGAAGATGAGAAGAAGACAAAGTGGTGGAATTATTTTCACAATTAATATTTTTTGACACGTATCGAGTATCGATTGCTTTTTGTGCCCGAGAACCAGCTATCTTCTAAAACCGCCATTAATTCACCCTCCAACCAGAAGGCTCAACTCGACAAATTAAATACTCGCATACAAAACAGAAGAAGTTCTCATTTTTGTTTATTTAGGGTAAATGAAGCAAAGCGATAAACGAACGAGTTTTCTTCCCAAGGGATAAGTTGAATATGTGGTGCTGCGATGGACAAAGACACAATGCAATTAGATTGTGGTTAGGTTAGAGTTAGACTATCTCCACAGAGATGAGAGGCGTTCCCTTCTTATCAAAGCCAATGGAAGCAAATCAGAGCAGAACACTTTTTAGTTTAATATTTTTCAGAAAATACAAAGGCAAAAGGACAACAATGAACGATGAGCAATAAATCTCTCTTGATAAAGAAATAAGATTTGGTGAGTGGCATTGTGAACTGGTGGTGGTCAGGACGTGATAGTTGGTGTTGTTGGTTAATGGGTTCCACCCCATATTAACTCTACTAAATTAATTGCATCCATACATCTAGATTAGTTGGCAATCACATGGTTTGTTTATATGTACCCCCAGGCCGAGTTGAACTCATTGCTGGTGCCTGGACATTGGAGAAAGCTACTCAGCTCCGAGCTAAGCTGAGCTGAGCTAAAAGATGAATGCTTTATTTGTCAGTTAATTAATTTGGGGAATCCCCATTTCCCAGGGCTAAAGACAGTGTCTAATTATTTGCGTGCGGTATCAGTGTTTTCATTCTAACAGAATTGATGAATTGGTGGAAGGAATTCAATAACCCAATGCAAAGAATTGCATGTGCTGGAGAGGAGTACACATTCGTCGAACCCAACTCATCAATATGTATGTACTATGTGTAATGTTCAGCCAAAATAAGGAAAACGGAAAGGGAAATTTTTACTGGGTAAGTGGATGATTCTTGACTCAGACTCATCACCTGCTGTAAATAATTTGGCTTTTCTTTTTCTCTTTCCTTTCCTAAAGAAAAAAGCCTCCAGAGTTGGAAACCAGCAGGAAGGACGGTTGAGCTTTTGGCGTGTAAAATCTGCCTGATTGAAACATATCCAAATGGTGGGACCAACCGCACCGGTCTTCTTCGAAGGCTCCGTCTCTGGTAGTACCTCCTCGTCCTTATAATTTTGACATTTTGTGAAAGTTTTCTCCACCATTTGTTTTTATTAAGCATGACAAGCGCTAGGCCAGGACCCAGGACCCAGGACCCAGGACCCAGGAGGAGGCCAGCCAGAATAATATCCATCCACGTCCGGAGGGCTAAGGGCTGGGCCTACCCAGCAGCCCAGCGATTGAAGACGTGTTGATATTGAATGAACTTTGCATCATTGGCTAACCTGTCTCTACACCGACCGCTCAATACTCATCCACAGCTGCTGAACGCCTGAACGTGTAGTGTCTCTGTCTCAGGGGAATTTTTCAAGTTCTTAACTAGGGTGGGTGAAGTGACTTTCGTCGTCCTTAGAATAATGAACCAAGGTCCCTTGGGATATCATATGGGGACCTTGGTTCTCAAGTCTTAACTAAACTAAACCACCAAGTGTAGGATAGCCACGTGCGCACCCCTAGACTATTGTGGGGCTGGGCCCCACCCAGAAGGGAAGGCCAACTGGCCAAGGCCGGAAGTGGAGATCCAACCCAAGTTCCCAACTTCCAACTTCCAAATTCCAATCTTAAATTCTATTTTTTATTATTGCCCAATATCCATGAATGAGTCCGATCCGATCGAGTGACCCCCATTTGGACGGGCGTTTCTCTTCAGTCTTCACCCTGGCAGGAGTATTTTACACGGATTCAGCATGCTGCACCACCCTATTTCACATGATCTCTGACTCCCTTCCCATTTCCAACCCCCATTAGCCGACAGTGCCATGTCCAATTTACCAAACCTGTCCTTCATCTCTACATCTTTCCGAGGCTAAAATTGGTAGTTCACACAGCCCCCCCAGTGAGGCAGTAACGGCCTTAAGGGAATCTTTGCCACTTAAAACCTAAATACACAGAGTGGCAAGTGGCTTCATCCAAGGAGAAAAATTTTCATTTCCTTTTTTTTCCCTTCTTCTGCAGGAACAAAACAACTGATGAGACCAGATCACCAGCTGAGTCGATCACAAACAGGATGGGTAAGTCAAAACAGCGAAAGAAAGACTCTTTGTTGACAACATTATCACAACTTAAAACAGTAATCAAAGAGTGAGCAACCGAGTGAGTGAGTTGTAGAGAGAGAGAGTGTGTGTTTGTGTGTCAGATAGATCTATACTATATATCATCTGTTTATATCTGCTACAATGGCTTCCTAGAAGGGTTGACAGAGATGGGGAAGACAAGCAAATGGATCAGAAGCTTCTTAACGGGGAAGAAAGATAAGGAGAAGGAAAGAGAAAGAGAGAAAGAGAAGGAGAAGGCCAGTACCAAGAAGCCTTCATCACTTCCTACTGAGAATCCAACCACGCCAATTTCAATTCCTCCTAGTACACCAAAAGAGAAACGCAGATGGAGTTTCAGGAGACCAGCAGCCACAGCTGCAGCTCCCAAGGATTGGAATTCCACAGACTCGGCTGCTGCCGCCACGCCAGCGGTACAGGCCATTCTTGAATCTGAGAATGAGCAAAAGAAGCATGCCATGGCTGTGGCGGCCGCTACAGCTGCTGCTGCTGATGCAGCAGTCGCAGCTGCACAGGTTGCTGCTGCTGTGATCCGCCTCACAGCTGCTGCCACAAGGCCCAGTGCGGTTGAAGAGGCTGCCGCCATCAAGATTCAAGCTGTCTTCCGTTCCTACCTGGTATGAATTCATCTGAAATTCCAATTCCCCTTACTCCCCAAAGAAACATCATTTCCGTCTGTTTTGCTGATTGATGAGAACCCTCTCTCCTATTTACATGCTTTTTGTTCCTGAAAATATGAATACCGAATTCAGATTTGGTGAAAAGAACCTATATGAAGAAAAAATTAGTGACAAAAATATGAATTAACAGTTGACAACGATACATTGATTACAGGCAAGAAAAGCATTACGTGCATTGAAAGGATTGGTGAAGTTGCAGGCGTTGGTGAGGGCGCACTTGGTGAGGAAACAGGCCACTGCTACTCTCCGGTGCATGCAGGCATTGGTGACAGTTCAGGCCAGAGCTAGGGCCCAGAGGATCCGGATGGCTGAGGAAGCACAATCTACCCCTCAAAGACAATTCACTCCCAGAAAATCCTTACAGGACAACCGGTTCAGACAAGCATACAATGTGAATATCATTTCCTTCAGTATTTCAAATCTATAGCAAATTTAACTGCTCTGCATCCATGAATTTGTTAGATTAAAAAGCTAAGCCATATGCTCTCTCATGTATCGGAAATGGAAAATATTAGTTTGGTTTTCTTTGAAGAGAGGAAATGGTTACAGGCTTACAGCAGTTTCAAAGAAAAAAATTGGTGGGTCAATTTTGACATCTGCCTTTTTATGCATTTGTAGGAGATGGATAGAGGAATAGAGGAGAACATTAAGATTGTGGAGATGGATATTGGTGAATCGAGGGCAAGTTCAAAGAGCAGGAATGGCTATTCCAACCACCCGCAAATTGAACGGGCAGATCAAAGGTTTTCAATATATTATGCTGGAAACCGTGCAAACGCAAAGCAAGAACATCAACTCCAGATGTCACCGGCTCCATCAGCCTTGACCGATATGAGCCCAAGAGTCTGCAGTGGGCATTTTGAGGAGTATTCTTTCCTCACAACACAGAGCAGTCCCCAATGCTACTCGGCTGTGGCCAAACCAGACCCAACAATGGCCCCTTTTGCCTTTCCACGGTCAGAGTACGCAGATTCTGTGTCCAATGACTACCCATTCTTTCCACATTACATGGCCAATACGGAATCTTCCAAGGCAAAAGTCCGGTCGCAGAGTGCACCTAAACAACGACCTGATTCCTACGAGAGACAACCCAGCAGACGGAGAGCATCCATGGAAGGAAGGAATATCCCAAGGAGCATTCGTATGCAGCGTTCATCTTCCCATGTGGGGTCTACCATTCATGGATACCAATACCCATGGTCAATTAAGCTTGATAGGTCCACAGTATCTCTCAAGGAAAGCGAATGTGGTTCTACCAGTACAGTTCTCACAAATACCAACTACTGCAGATCTTTTGTTGGATATGAGGTGAGTACCAACTGCCCGTTCCTTCCAATATCACAGATCCCAAGAGCAAGATGATTACTTCCATTCCATTCCATGTTTATAATTTTGTAAAATGATCTCCAGATCCAGATAGCGGTTTTAGGTCGCCTTTTCCCAATTTAACTTCACCATTTATCATAAGATTCATAACCAGCTATTTTTACCACCAAAGTCTGATGGTGTGGTTTCATCGCCTTCCATGACTGCAGGTACAAGGGAATAGGTACTGAACGGACGGTTCATCCTTTTCCGCCATTAGAAACTGGAACTAATGCCGCCACTGAACCACATGGAAGAACCAAGAACATGACAACTGATCCCAGAATGAAAGAATATTATCCACCAATAGAGTTTAATTTATTTGGGGTAGGACCGTAGGAAGCTATAAGGCGCTTAAACTACTGATTATATTAGATATGATGATTCAGTGCCAAGGCAGCCCTTTGAATCGAACTCCCTTTTGTAACGTCCAACTTCTGCTTTTGGGTGTTTCCACTTCCACATGTTTTTAATTTATAGCTTAGTATTAGGAGTTTAACGAGAACGAACAATAAGGGAACTGAACTGCAACTCTGCTAGGACTACAGGTTTAAGCGCATTTCTAATTCATCCCAAATGTAATCTGTTGAAACTTGAAAGTAATGTAACGAGGGATTATCATTCTTTTTTGGGAATTAGAACCAGCTCAATTTCTGTACCACGGGGTCGAGCCATCCAGGAATTCTTCTATTTCTTCGACTGCAGAGTGCAGTCCACTTGCACCATTGTACTGCTTGATATTTTCATGTCAGAGTTCTGTAAATGCCATCTCATCATCCTTCGAGCTTGATGACAGCAGTGGAACTATTTTATAGGCCTCATGATTTTGATCTATGGGTCTCCTGTTCAATGAGGTGAATCTCTCTACTCTGGTTATATTTTCTCGCTTTACTGGTATGAAGAAAAGAGTCAAGGGCCGAATGAAACTCTACCTTCGATAATATAACACCTGATTTCTTTTATAAAAGGTGGTAATTTCATTCTGTTTCATATAAATGAAGCAAAGAAATGCTGCAGAGGGAGAGGTTACCCTTATGTGAATAGTGAAACTATCGGGAAAAGATCTCAGCGCAAGAATATTGTTCTTGACTTCTTGTTGGGTTAGGTAAAAATATTTGCATGGATGGCCATCACGAGGGTATTCTCGCTAAGATATCATGCAAATCCCACCTGTTGATCGATGGCATGCAAAGGGGAATATTTGCAGCTATGAGAACAGTAAAAATAGTAATCGTCAATGCCTTTGTTGTCATACAAGGAAAGTTCTACACGATACCACTTCAACTTATTTTCGATTTTGAAATTCCCGCTGCACTTTTCTCATAATGACTCATTTCACTTCAGACTCAATTTTAGGCTCAGTTTGGAAGGGGTACAAATACAAATGTGTAGAATGTAAAATCCTGTATTTTGTATTATTTTATATGTATTTATAAATGTACATATTTGTATTTGTACTCCTTCCAAACTGAACCTTAAGCTGGGTTTGGAAACGATGCAAATAAGTGTGAATGCAGATATATAGAGTGGAAAACAGTTCATATAAATTACAAAATTGGATTAGTTTTTCATTGACAAATTTACCTTCTATGGATGGAAGCATGAATTCCAATAAAGCATGTTTTTTTTATTTTTTATCAAAAACCCACTTAAATGCAAATTTACGTCTTTTTTATTGATGTACTTTTACATCTTATTATCAAGGTAAATATGCATTGGTCTGTCATTTGTCAACGCACAAATGTAATTTACCCTAAACCGGGATTTGCATCATTTCCAAACGCAGCCTTAGGTACTCGAAAAAGATACTTAGCTGAGTGTCTGAAACTGGGTTTCTATTTACCACCAAACTGCTCTAATTTCAGGTTATTTATAGTGGAATTATAGTGTACAAGGCACCCTTTCGTGCTGCAAGTTTCCAATATATTTTCTCTTACCTCTTGACCGCTAATGGACTTTCCACATACTGTGCTAGCCTGCTAGGTTTCATGAAGATTCGTAGATCCTTGAAAAATGGTCCCAAGAATCTTGAATTCATTAACCTAAAACCTGAACCTTCCACCAGGATTATCTTATTCAAAAAGATTACTGTCTTGATCCTTTCAGTTTTTCTCGATAAACATAAGCCTCAAACTTGGACCTTGTACATATCGTAGTTGCAATGCAAAAGATGAGACTTGTATCAAGATTCTTAAGAGTAGATGCCACCTTACCTCCCAATTTGTGGTCCTGGAATGTCGCCAAATAAAGAACTTGAGTGAAATACTATGCTAAGGAGAAAATGTGGGTTAGAGTCTGAGAACAGCCACTTTATACCTGTTAAAGGGCTGTTTATTTTTTGTTATTTCTTAAAGTTTAGTATCGCATGGGTAATATTGTAATTCCCCCTCCCTTTATGTTATGTTATGATCACCCTAATATAAATACCAAAAGCTGGTGCCGCCAGATATGAGTTATGCTCTCAGATCTCTCTTCTCTTCTCTTCCTCTTCTGGATTATGGTATCAGAGCAGGCCTATTTGATCTGAAAGGAGATTGAGAAAGTTTCTGTGTCTTCTCTCTTCACTTGCTGCTGATCTTCCTCTGAAGAACCAGGGTACATCTTTGGACTGATCTCAGAAGTTTCTCCCTTCCTTTTTTTTTTCCTTGGTCATGTACGAGGACAGAACCTAAAAAAGGGGTTCGCTCATCTGATGTGAGGTGATCAGCACCTGCACCTTCCTTTTTTGTAGGATCGAGTGATCCTTGTGATGGTTGTAGGTCGGAGGTGACTTGTATGTGCTGTGACAGCAGTTCTGTGGTGTGTTTGTAGGTCAGAGATGACCTGTGTGTGCTGTGACAGCAGTCTGGTGGTTGGTTTGTAGGTCGGTGATGACCTATAGGTGTTGTAACATCAGTAAAACAATTTTTTTTTGGTGATTGAAGGACTATGTTCAAACTGAGTTTTCTGGTGCAATATTCAATTTCCTTTTCAGAAATAATACCATGTGTGAAAGGGAAACTGGTTGGACTATTTTTTCTAGGTCTTTTGGGACTATTTTGAGTGTGACCTGAACTAGTTATCATGAGTAGTGAAGATTCTGTCACATCTGATGTTTCCTCAACGCAGAATGGACTGAGTGGGGGTATGTATTTATCATTCTTTATGGCTGTCAGACTTCTTGATGGTCTCAATTACTTAGAATGGAAGAATTAAAGAACCTAATTCTAGGAGTACTGAACATGACAGATGGAACTACGAAAACAATATGGTAATGTCATGGCTCTTAGTGTCTATGCAACCTCAAGTGAGAAGAAATTTTATGTGGGCTAAAACAGCTTATGAGATTTGGGAACAAGCAAAGTCAACTTATTTTGAATTGCGCCACTATGCAAAAATCTATCAGTTACAGGCAGAATCCTCTACTTGTAAACAGGGGGAGATGAGTCTCTCTATATACTATTCGGACTTGACTTCCATCTGGAAGGAGTTGGATCACTATCAGAGTGTAGACTAAAAGTGTGATGAAGAAGCCAAAGTGTACAAGTCCCTTATTTCACAGCAACGAGTATTTGCCTTCCTTCTTGGCCTGAACCCTATGTACAAATCCATTAGAGTATAGATCCTTGGAAGCAAGGATCTCCCATTTGTCCAAGAGGTATATGCACTAGTACAATTAGAAGAAAGTAGAAGAAATCTGATGAATAATTCTGGGGGAGACGCAGTTGTGTTGGCAACGAAAGGAAGTGTTACAAGTGGGGGAAATTCCTTTAAGAAGGGTGATTTTCAAAAAAGGGTGGATGACAAAGACAAATTATGGTGCACCCATTGCCAGAAGTTTCGACATACTCGTGAAACATGCTGGGACCTTTATGGAAAGCCAAAATGGGCTCAGGAATTGAGTAAGAAACAAGGTTCATATACGAATAAGAAGTCAGGACAACAAGGTCTAAGAAAACTCACTACAGCAAACATGGCTACTCAGGAGAACCAACCCTCGACTATTACTATGGCTCAGACACACACCTCTGGTTCTCACCCTAGGGAGGATATCATTAATTCCTTTCATGACCATTTAAAACTCTATGGTAAGAAAATTCGTCAAATGGATGCTCCTCTTCCATCAACTTCATAAATATCTACATCAAGTAATTCTGCCACAACTTTCCATGTATCGTCTCATTCCTCTGACTCTCCTTGGATAATTGATTTTGGAATGTCAAAACATATGACTGGTAAGTCTATTTACTTTCAGATCTATCATTTTTTCTCTAAAAGAGACAGTGAGATTGGTTGATGGTTCATTCTCTACCATAGCTGGTCAAGGAATCATTTCTCTTCCTTTTGGCCCTACCCTTTCTAATGTTTTACATGTTCCACAATTCCTATTAATTTGTTTTCTATTAGTAGTATCACCAATTCATTAAATTGTTCAATTACATTTTTCCCTTCTTATTGTGTCATTCAGAATTTGGACTTAGGGAAGATGATTAGTAGAAGACACATGGTGGTTGGAGTCTACTTACTAGAGAATAATGCTGGTCTTGCACTCATAGAGTCTAAGAGTCAGACCTATTTATGGCACAGTCATCTTGGTCATTTATCTTTTGAATCCTTAAAAATTATGTTTCCAGAGTTGTTTAAGTCAATGTCAGTGTCAGAATTGATATGTCAAATTTGTTAATTGAATAAACATTATAGAACTCATTTTCTTCAAAGAATAATAAATCTGAATTTCCTTTTCATATTGTTCATTCTAATGTTTGGGGTCCAGTTACTTTACCATCTGAGAATGGCTACAATTATTTTATTACCTTTATTGATGATTACTCGATATGACTTTTGCATATCCAAATTAGATATGTTTAGATCCAAGTTTGATTTGTTAATATTTGGATTCAAATCAAACATTATCAATTGGATATTAAACAACTTTACTAAAGACTCGATATGACTTTTGCATTAAATATTAAACAAAATGACTTCAAAATAACTTCTATGAGACTTAAAACCTATGACTGTCTAGTAAACACACAACATTGAAACCAACTTTACTAATAAATATATATTAGTTTTATGTAGATATAAGCATCATCATCATCATCGTCTAAGCCTTATCCGAACTATATTGGGTCAGCTACATGTATCATGTTTCACCATTTCATTCTGTTTAATACCATATCCATTATTAAATTATGAGTGCTTAAATCATTTCTTGCTACTTGGTCTGCCCCTAGCCCTTCTACAGTTCTACCCACTTCAACTTGTACCAGATCGCTTCCTTTTATGGATGATGTAGGTGGTCTTCTATCCATATGACAAAACCATCTTAATCTACTTTCTCTGAGTTAATCACCTATTGATGCAACTGCTAGGTTCCTTTAAATGACTTCATTTCTGACCATACCCTTTCTAGTTTTTCCACTCATCCATATATACAAATCTAAGTGAAAGTCAGACAATAATGACAAGCTTCAATGCATTTGAATCAGAACATTATCAACAAATTGAATACTCAACTACATAATATCAAGAGGTATTATAATTAGATGATAAGGGACATAGTTGGACACCACAATGAAGTTGCGCTTACTATGTATCCTCCCAGAGGTTCTTGGAGAGGTAGATAACATAATAGAGTACTCTGGAAAGGATTGATGAATATGATTTAAATTTAATACAAGGCCAGAAAAAAGCTAACAGAATGTCTTCTTCCAGAAGGATTCTCTGGTGAACTGTCTAATATTACAAATAAGGTTCCCAATCTGGTACCCAGTGCCCCAACTCACATGCATCCAAGACGAAGTAAACATGCTTATGGTATTGCGATCAAACAAGGGTATTGTCTAGTGATCATTGACTTAGCATGAAAATCCAAAACTCGAATTAAGAAATTA